AGTAAAGCAGTTAAATGGCAAGAGGGTAAAGTAATTCTTCCAGGTGTCTTGTGTTTACGATTATTAGATATTCCACTAGCTGGATTACTTCACTACTTCTAAGAAACGCTCAACAAACACCCAGTTCAAGTGCATGAACAAATGCTGTTAAAACGGCACCATTACTGCGCCTGCAGCCGATTTCACTATCCAACTTCCCCCTGTCAACTGGAGTTCATTTAACACAAGCCAGTTGGCTGGTTTGCTGCCATGACAACAGAGTGCCAGTGAAGGGGAAACTAGACTTAAGTTTAAATGTCACAACTTCTCTCTCACATCTGTAAGATGGCGAAACAATCAGCGTTTCAATGATGCCAAAGTGGAAAGAAGTGGCCTCCAAGTGCGCATGCCTGCGTGCCATGGCAATCACTTAGCTGCTTATAGAGGATGGATTAAACACACAACATCTCTCACTTTGACAAACTGCGAGCAGGTGCGCATGCAGACACAGACATATTCCAACACTGTTTGACCTTCCCTCATTGATTTTTATGATAATAATCTCCATAAATAGACGGGCTTCTCACAATTGATGGGAAGATCTCGTCATTTTTGCCACTGACTCACAAGCCCGGGTTAATTGAGGTGGACAGTCCCAATCATGACACTAAATGGCTTTAAAACGGCACTTATTTTCGGCAGTGGTGCGTGAATGTCACGGCCGCAAGAGCTAACAGCAGCCCCCATCCCCTTGCACACTCACTGCTGGCACCACTGAAAGATTTCTGCCAGGGTTATTCGGTTATTGGGTCTAGATGCAAATACGCCAGTGAAATCATTCACAGCCTGCTGTCAGACAGTCACAGCTGCTTGCAATGAATTTGTGCCAAGGGGGGTGGGGGGGCAAAGAGAACGATGGTTGTGTGTGTTTATGTGAGTGTGTATTAGGGATAGGGGCTCTGACTGTATGAAGAATAGATATTTTAAGAAAAACAAATAGCAACAACATAATTGAATCATGGTTTTTAGCATCATAGCCATAGTCAGGTTCCCGTAGGTTTCTTCGTGACTCTTGATAAACGGCTCTGCAGGTATAAAATTCACTAACTGGTGGACTTGTTAGGTGACTCACATGCTAGTTGGCCGGCAGGCTGGCAGGCTGAGCTGCCAACTGCCCCCTTGCCTTCCTAGGCCCTGTTCAGAGCTCTAGCATCTTGCTTCCAGATGTAGCTAGACAGTGCCAATATTCAGTTGAATTGGACTGCAGTTTGTTCCTGGCTTCTGAATGCATCTTTAATGTGTCTCGAGTAACAACTTCTGATTAGATTTCACCTCTCTTCATCATATTTGACGCGTGACGACAAGTTTACACTCAGACATACTGTTGCAGACTATGGCAGTTATCAGGTGACTCACCATGGGAGCAGATGTCAAAACCTTGTAAGGATTACAGCATTTGGCAGAGGAAAATTAACTTTACACCATGACTACTGAAAATTATTGATTCGGATTGGCTGAAAGGTGTGGACTGACTATGACACAGGTGTTTGTTTGAAGTACTAAATTAATGCTTTAGTATTGAACTGTAGGTAAAGACAGAGTGAGAATTAGCTAAAGATTGTGGAGCTATGGTTATTTGTGTAACCACCACAGACAACAGTAACAAAAATTATAAAAAACTTAAAGCTCAGATGTTTTTAAACTAAATTTGCATGAATCCGGACGCAGGATCCAGAGCAACACTTTGCATCAATTGGTTCTTCACATTCGCATCATCCATTAAAATCATGGAACATACAACCTGTTGAGTATTATCCCTTAATATGTTCTACGGATTAGGAGGTTTGTTGTCCTATATACACTTTAAGTTGACCATTCAGTCAAGGACATACTTCCCACATTAGCAGCTTTTACATTACTTAGTGATATAGGTGCATTACATTCCCTACATAAACTTTAGTGGAACAATCAAACATCATTTTTAACCCATCATTTTATTCAGCAGTGGCTTATATTTTTTAAATGTAGTTTTTAGATCTCACTGATGTCTTTTGCTAAACCAGTGTTTAAGTCTTATATTTCCACAGACTGGGCCACTCTGCTGAGCTTTTCTTCTTTGCTGGACCTTCATTTAAGTCTGCTGCCCTCATTGAGGTGGTCCAGGAAAGTCTGTGGAAAATGTTCGACTTAAATGTTCATTTTGGCCTGGAGGAAATATTTTTCTGGACGGACTGAAGATATCAGCAAGATCATGAAAATACAACCAGCTGTTCAATAACAGGTAATTTTTTCCACCCTAAGATTTGAATTTAAGTTTAGGCCAGTGAAAGATTTTACTTCTTGCGACAGAGAGGACACCTGTAAGATTACAATACCTCTGAAGAACTGTTGAACAACAGGTAAAATTAACATTTTGATGAGAGCTGCAACAATCAGTCAATCAACAGAATATTAATCAGAAACTATTTTGATAATCGCTTTAACATTCTCTGGTTTCAGCTTCCTATATGAGAAGAATTGCTGCTTTTCTTGTAAACTGAATATCTTTGGCTTTTCAACTTTCAGTCGAACAAAACAAGAAATTTGAACTTGTCACCTTGAATTCTGGGAAGTTGCAATGGACATTTTTCGTTCACCTTAAATGAGTAAATGATTAATCCAAAAAAAAAACAGTCAAATCAATGATGAGAACAAACGTTTGTTCAGCCCTTGTTTTGAGTATTGCACTAAGGTGCTGCGGTCGCAGACAGGGCTAATGACACATTAGAATTTTGAGCTTTATGAATGACAAGTATGAATAGCTGGCGAACTACCTTACCTGGCTGCCTGTGTTCATTACTTTATGGGATGGTTGGATAAGCTGGCTGGCTAGCTGACGGAGTAATGATCGAACACACTGCCAGCCTGCCAGCCTCTCTGGCTTGCTAACCGACTCACAAATTGACTACCTGCCTGGCGGAATGACGACCTAACCTATAACCTGCCTTTATTCCTTCCCGCTGCCCTCTCCCCTTCTTCATGCTACCAACAACACAATGAAACTGACACCCTGACAACCCTGGATTTTTACCTTCATGGTAAAAATCTTCAAACGGGCAAAGAACATGGCAATCAGGTCTTCATGCAATGCAGCACTCACTGTCTGTTCCCCCTACGGCACTGAGGTTGTTGCTCTCACAAAGAAATCAATATCCCACAATGATTAAGCTCGACGTGGCGTATTGGCTGTAAAGGTCTGGCCAAGTTCACAAAGGAGCGGAGACAATACACGACTTTTGTTGAACGTCAGCAGCTGAGTGTTGTGAGCGAGGAGGAGTTGACGGATGCGAGGCAGCTGAGCTGAGGCATCGATCAAACATCTGCATCTCATGCCGACAAAGCCGGTTCCCGGAAACAGAACTTCAGCACATTTAGTCCCAGGCATGTCTAACACAAGCACCAGCATTATGCATAGACCCTTGTGTGACTCATTCTTTCTTTTTTTAAAGTATTAATTCTTTCATTCATTCGTTCTTTTGTGTTTGTCTCACTTGCATCACTGCCACCTTCAACATGACTCACTTTCATTTCAGTGGGCTTTGCTGGCAACACAACACAATAATCCACTCTTCATTACAAAATCAATATGTGAAAAGACGATCAGGATACAGCTGACTAAAAAGAAGAAAAAATAATCAAACCTAGAAGGATATTGGGTGTATGTACCTCTGCTGAACATGTTGTGCAAGAGGTTTCTCCAAAAAAATAAAAGGCCACCAAAGCCGCCTTATGAGAAAATCTGATGCCTGTGCGATTGTTTTCGCACATCATCTGTGAGATTTATTATCTTTTTGTCTCTCTCATGAAAGACCCGTTTTCTGTTGCTTTTGTTTCTCGTTTTTTTTTTTTATTTCTATCCGTCTGTGCCTTGAAGTCTGAACAACAAGAACCTGCTGTAAGAGTTTTGTAACTGAGCCATACCCGGTGGCACAAGATGTTATTAATGGAAGATGAATGAATGAATTGTCAAGGAAACAGCTGATGGTTACAGGCCCATGAGGAAGTTTCTTTTTCTTTGTTCCATTTTAACATAAATTGAATTAGTGGTGAAATGATGCTTAATGGACAACTCGATCAACACAGTTAATAATCATAGTCATTTCTCAACCAAACGTCAATCTCAAATGTGAGGGTTTCCAGTTTTTCACTCTGAACTCTTTGGGTTTTAGACTGTTATCCTGCCAAATGCTCTCTGTTTCCACATCCTGAAATGTGAGGATTTGAAGCTTGTCTTTGTCGTAAATGATATTAAGCCAAGTGAGTCCCTTTGGTTGAGTAAAACAAGTCGTTTGGAGACATCACCTTGAGTCTGGGACATTGTGACTGGCATTATTCTACTACTTCCTTGTAGTGTGTAAGACTCATCAATAATGATAATAACTGTTGGCTAGGATTTTGGGTAGATAATTGTAAGCTTTTAGGATATTTAAACTCTAAACAATTAATCGACTAAGTGAAAAAACAATCTACAGATTAATCAATAATGAAAATAAACATTGGTTGCAGCTTTAATGAATAATTGGAAGATATTTGGTTATTCAAAGCCATTTCAGGGCCATCACTTCAGGCTTTGGTATCTTACAGGAGGCACTTGTCATCTTACCTGGCATTTGTCGACCAATGGATTAATCAAAATCTAAAAGACAATTGTTCAGAATTGACTCCAGCATTCCCAGAGTTAATATGGTTAATCTGTCACTTATTGCCTCACATTATAAACAGATAACAGGCTAAATGTAGAGAAGCATCAATGTAACGTCTTTATTCTCCAGCCCCAGCCTGTATAATCATTTCACTGTCTTCCTGACGCTGTCCAGCCAGGTGGAGTGAAGGAATGTGAGCATCTCAGATTCAGCACTATCAGCCCAGAGCACCGACAGGCTACAGTATGTCTGCTTTTGAAGCCCTGCAGCTGGCAAACATGCACATGCACACGCACACGCACACACACACACACACACACACACAGAGGATATACTCACAGTCAAGGTGTTTCTTCTTGGGTCCGCTGACTTCATGTGTGGTGGCTTTGCACACAGCCTTGCTGATAGCCGACCCGGTCATGCTGTGCTGCGCTGCAGCGATCCGATCCGTGATAGATTGGCCCGACATCGTTTCTATTTCTCTTTCGCTCTCTCTGCTTTTTCCCCCCAATCAGCTAAAATAGCACGATAACGATCCGATCAATGGATCAACTCCCTGCGGGACACAACTCAACGTGACTTCCCTGTCAAGTGGAGGTAAATGGTTGCGATCAGACACCCACTGTTGTGTTAAGTTTTTTTCTTTTTCCAGGTGCGTATAAAACCGGCAGAAATGTCAGATCACTGGTGGCAAAAAAAACTACTGCAGGTATAAGAATATGTGGTTGGCTTTACACAATCCGCAGCTGGTTTGCAGCTTTCCTTTTGTAGTTAAATTGTTTGGCAACAGTTTATTCCGACTATCTATCTAGTAAACAAAACACGACGACACTAATCTGAGCTAGTCTGTGTTAGCTAATGTTTCCGTTGCAGTACTCGAACCAGGAAAGAGTCCCACTGTGGAATTTGTAAACACTTGAAATTACTTTCTGGCCACAAATAAACATAGCTAACTGGCTGGTTTGTAACCTGGACGATTTGTTTGGGATCACCAAAGAGAAAAGTCCACCTCGGTGTTGGCAAAAAAATAATAATCCGTATGAAATCACAGCTTGGAGAACATCAACAATCTCGACAATCCAAAAAAAAAAAGAAAAAAAATTCGAGTTCCTCCTCCACGTCAACTTGTTAGCTTGGGCTGTTAAGCTATCAATGGTCGCTTGGCAAAGTGTAAGTTAAACCCCCCCTCGGGCGTAAAAAGTCATTCAGAACCGAGCAGCACATTGTTTGAAGTTTATAAGAGGATACTGTGAAGCTGACAGCCGGGACAGGTGCAGTTTCTCCCGGCGAGAAGAGCTGCGAGGAGCGGTGGGTGTTAGCCGAGCAGCTAGCGGGGTAAGCTAACCAGCCAGCCAGCCAGAGAGCGGGCGAGTGTCTGTAGTCTGACTGAAGAGCAGAGCCGGCGGACACGCTAAGTTAAAAATGACAGCTCCCTTCGCTCGGTTGTTTCCCCCTCACGGTCCTCGGGCTCAGTTGGTGCTGTCCTTCGGTTGCCGACTCCACATCACCGGCTCGGGGTTTTTTTTAACCGATAGTCCCGTCCCGTGCTGTTGTCTGAAAAGTCTCGCCAGTGGTTTCTCTTAACGGACTGACTGGCTGGTTGCTTCTCTACCGGACAAAATGGCAGCGTAAAAAATCAGCTGATCTCACAACCGTGCTGCATTTAAGTATCTCTGGTAGGCTCGGAATTTAGAAAACCAAATTCCTTTGACTTTCTGCGCGTTCAAGTGCACCACTGTTGATCTTGTTTTTTGTTTTTTCATTGGTGGAAGAAGTACTCAGTTGAAATACTCAATTAAAACAAAAAGTCCTGCATTTATAATTCTACATAAATAATATCAGTTAAATGTAGGCTACTTGAAGTATTAAAAGTACTGGTTCTGCAGAAAACTGGCCCATCTAAGATAAGATGAAACTTAACTTATTCCCAAAGGGGAAATTAATTTGTTACAGCAGCTCAAAACTAAAGGAAAAAGAGTCAATGAGTCACAAAAACTATAGGCTATATACACCTATCACATATAGATACAGATATGTCATGCTAGTGAAACACACATGGTGTGTAGCAATAAAATATTACACTGGAGGTTGGACAATTGCACAAAAAGATATATTGTGCTGTGATGTTAATTCGAAGGACATATTACAATAAATTATATTAATATTGATGCATCAATGTAAAAGCAGCATTTTACTGTTGTAGCTGCTCAATGTACAGTTGGTTTTAACTACTCTATATTCATTTAGCTAGTTTAGTCCAGTGGTTCCCAACCCAAGGGATACAAAATAAATGTAAGGGATTGCCGGATTATTAATACTGACAGATCAGTTGATATTACAGTTGATATTGAAAATAACTGTACCTCAAGTCTAAAACACATAATTTTGTATGAGTGTTATGGCATGTTGTGGACATGGCTGAGTCATATATGACCTTGGACAACCCTGGGGTAAAGTTTTTCATTTCTGCATGTCAAACACACAGTTTGAATGTGAAGGTGAAAATCTACTGCTATGAAATAAAGAACACCTACAAAAAGATGAGCTTGATGTTCTAATTGCTTTATCATAAAAGTCAACGCTATAAATTAACCAAACTGTCAAAGCATGTGAATACATGAATATCAAATGGTAAAATAAAAATATTTAAACATAATTTTACAATCAGCCTCTTTAAGAAGAGTTGTTACATCGAAACAACAACAACAAAGAAAAATGCAATGTTTTATGACCTCTTCATATTGTTCATGTCTGCCGGATGATTAATTGCTATATTTCCGACAGTTCTTGAACGCCTCCACAGTCTATTGGACAAGCTCTGAGGAGTGAACGTAGTCTTTAAGGTGTCACGGTTTAAATTGTAGCGGAATGTGGGAAACAAATGTATCGAATCTCACGTCTTTTTTACATCAAAGACGTGTTTCTGCCGCAACACGACAACAAACAGACGTGAATCCCTGTGCTCCTCCTTTATAAACGCATTTTTAGCGCCGCGCAAATCCAAGTTTAAGGTGGTATTAAATTATTCCTCAGACACCGTGTCCTTGTTTGACTCCAGACTATATGGAACACGGTGTGCTGAAAAATCAGTGGGAATCGCTCATGCTGCACAGTGCACAGCCCAGTGGGTATCACACCGGATCTGAGAGCTGAATAAATCAAATACTTGGCGGCAGTCGGCTGTATTTCACACATCTTATTGGATGTAATTAGATCCCGGGCTGCTGCTCGTATAGTCCGTCATAAGTGGTTCATATCGATCACGGCTGCATGCGTGGAGGCAGCCGGTCATGATGCAACAAACCTATAACAGACCCGATTTTGTCAAGACATGGGTGCACGTGACCTGCGATCGAGAGTGCACCAGGACAGGGCAGAGTGGTTAAGTGACAGCACAACTCACAGATGTAGTTGTGTATGAGGACTGTGCGTAATTTCCCGTTTTGGGTGTGTGTGTCTAGTTTCTTTCCAGTTTCAGCTACAGTGTGCAGTATTTCCTGCCAGGGTGAGAAATACTGCACACTGACCCCACCACCACCAGCAGCAGCCGAAGCAGCAGCTGCAGGTGAATTCCTGCAAACCACTGCTGCTTTTGACCTTTAATGACCTCTCCTCTCCTCTCTACTCTCTCCTCCCCACCATGGCCAGGAAAGGCTCTTCAAGGTGTTGATGATTGATGCGATGAACTGTCAAGAGCCACACAACCAGCCATGCACACACACACACACACACGCACACTTTCAGTTTGTTTGCATGTGATCCACCTATAAGTAACTGGCAGCCCTAAGTTGTGCTCATCTGGTTTCTTTTTCACTCATTTCTGTGAAACCCAGTGAATGTATGTGTGTGTGTGCGTGTGTGTGTGTGTGTGTGTTGAAAAATGTGCATGCTGCAGAAAAAAGGAAATAAAAATGCAACCACAGTAGGTGGAAGTGGTTAGAGCTGCACAGACCACCAAAGAGCTTTTATCAACATCCTCTTTCATAAGCCTTAACAGCTGCAACACTGAACCAAATCAACAGTTAATTATAAAATATGATTTTTTTTTTTGTTGTTGTTGTTGTATGCATGCAGCAGTTACTGCTTTTAGTACAGTTTTATCTCAAGTCTCACGATATATAATTAAAAAACAAACATTTCTTGATGGAATTGCATAAAAATGAGCAATGCACATAAAGAAGTGATGTACGGCAGCACAAAGACTGTCAGGCAGACAGTCACATTGATGCCTACGGGGAATGTTGAGTCTCCACCTGACTTGAATGTAATTTGAAAGGAAGTGCGGCACCCAGAGGAAAGGCAGGTGAAGCCAGGGTGAACATGCAAGCCATGAAATCAAACCTACGCTCATGCTCTTTACAAGATGTCAGTGCCAACTGCCGATTTGCTGTGCCGCCCTCGAACCCATTTCACCTCTCATCTCTCCGTCCTGACCCGGAGTGCAGTGTTGCCATCTGCAGGCGGAGGGGCTGAACTCCTCAATTTCCATGGCAACTGCATGTGTGGATGCGGGAAGCCCCTCGTAGCCCCTGGCAACAAGCTCTCGGCCGCGATTGGAGTCCGATCAGCAGCTGTCAATCATGGGATGAGCCGCTGCTTTTGCCTAAGGCCAATGTGCTCAGAGAGACAGGAGTAAATCCATTACTGGGATGGGGTCAGCTGGAAACACTTGCTAAGACAAAGACATAGAGTGGAGGGCACACAATTCATCCACAATGTTGTACAGTTGGTCAGGGAGGATAGTTTTCACTGTGATTACCATGGTTACGATCAATAGAGTGGCTCAGCATCAGGCGAGATGAGCTATGTAATAATAGCTCTTTGGTGTCTTGACCATGATGTGTACATGTGGGAAGTTTCCTTGAACCACTTGTCCTGCCTGTCAATGTTGGTTCTGCATCACTATAATCATAGATGGATTGTGAGATATTACAGTGCTGAAATTATGATAAAAATACATTTCTCTTCGATTTTCCAAAGGGAAATGTTTAGAACAGTCACTTCAAACACATCCCCTGTGTCTGCGCTCAGCACGCTCGGTCGGTAATCCATCCATAATTAATGACAACGTATGTACACTACTTTGGCTCCATGTGCTACACCTCCTTCTCGTCGTTCCCCAGCAATCATCTTTTCCTCCCTTCAGCTGGAAGATGTTGGGTGTCATTTTCCCAGTAATAGCTACTATAATAAATCACAATCAACTCTGATTCACAGTTTATGTCTTCATAAAACAGCCAGTATCAGGATGACTGAAAGTGCATGTTAACCTCTTCAAACCACTTCCTTTGTTTTTGTGGTGTAGTTACAACACACCTCAGCCAGGCCTGCCGCAGGTTAGGTTACACAGAAAGAAAGGGAGGATGTGTTCACTTGCGCACAGTTTTTCAAGGTACTCGGCAGGTAGATTGTGCCAGCATCTAGGAGGACTTGCCACAGTACTTCTGTCTCAGTGTCAATGTTCAGATCAGTGTGGGTGTGGGTGTCAGACCATCCGCTCCTTGTTCTTCTTGTCTCTGAAGACAGGTTTTTATGACTCCGGCTGTGTGTTTGGGGTCACTGTCCTGCTGCAGAATGAATTTGGCAGATGCCTTCATCATGGTATTGTGTGATGGATAAGAATCTAGATATCTAAAGTCTTTCTAAAGTTTTTCATTCATCCATTCATTTTCTACCTACCTGTATCTCATTAAGCAGGATGACTCTTGACAGGTTGCCAGTCGGTGACAAAATTCAGGGTTGGATTAACCCACCAGAGCACTCCGGTGAGCTATGGGCACCTACTGTCTCCCTCCATCTCTCCTATAAAGTTATACAAGTTATATATTTGTGTGACTGGCGTCAGCCTGTCAGGTTTGTGTCAGGCAGAACTTGAGATTCCGGGTCAGTCTGAGGCATAAATGTTGAAAACTGTATAAATCAATAAAAGCTGTCAACAAATTCATCCATTAATGTTCTACTCCACAGCTCTAGGTTTATTCTTCAGTCAACATGTTCGTGCGTTTGTATGTCATGTGTGTGATAGTGTTTGTGTTTGTACACATGCATAATTCCAGGCTAAAATATTAAACTCCACCGCCGCTGCTGTGAAGACCTCTGTCTGCTCGGGATTCTCTCAGATCACTTATTCATTCATCGAGCTTTTAAGAGATATGAAGCTGTTGAATTATGAGGCTGATAAAAATTTAAATGGATCAGTTAAGATGCAAAACTTGATAGCCTTCGTCTTGCAGAGGCACTCTGTCTATTATTCAGACGGACCGCGAGGTGACTCATCTTTCAACTGAAATGTTATTTTCTTTTTTTATTCATAGACAAATTCCGCCAGGACAGAGAGTCAGAGACCGGCCTGTAGTGTACAGAGGTTTTATTTAAAAATGAATTGAAAGAAGACCAACAGAGCAGGACAGCGTACAGTGTACAACAACTCACTGTTCGTCTATGTATACCTCAGAGATAGGGGTATAATAGAGGTGTGATATGAGAGTATGACTTGGCATTATTTTATATATATTTATTTAAACTTTCCAGTACCAGATAGCAAAATGAAACTGAAACAAACTTCTGGCCCAGCATATGCCTGTGGCCTGAGTCTGTTTG